TCTTTCCCTCCTCCTCCCTTCCTCACTCTTTGGTTGAGCCTCTCAGATGTACTACCAACATGTTTTTGGCCCTTACGCCCTTCCTCAGATGAGGCTGCAGTTCACAAAGCCCAGAAAGAGGTAGTTTAGCCAATCAATAAGCAGGTAAGAACAGATGTCCTGGTATCTTTTTATATACATATATATATATATATAACAGATGTCCTGGTATCTTTTTATATACATATATATATATCTATATATCCATACCAGTGTCAGAAACACGGTTGGAGGATTTCCGTTGATAATCCTTTTCCACAAAGTTTGCAGGTTGCTCTTGACCAAGCTACTACCTGGTTCCATACCATGAGTTATTGATAGTCACACGATTTAAGGTCTGGTTTTGCCACCAGGGGCTCAGCATGCCAGGCACCTGCAGTTTCCTTTCTCCACATTTTCTCTGGAGGTAGCATTTGTTTGCTTCTTCTGGCACTGGAGACAAGAGGGAGTATCTAATATTTATCCTCTGGGAAACACCACTTGGCTGCAAGCAAAGTAGTTCTCTGAGCCAGGAGAAGTGCTCTCTCCATGTTATTCTTCTCGTGAATCTGAGTTTTTAATTAAGTGATTTTAATTATTAGCTCTAGGCTTCAAAAGAATTACAACCTCTAAACCAGGCAACTACAATAGGAAATTAATTAGGGTGAGGAGAGCAATACAACTATCATTTTACACTAGGCTCCTGAAAAAGGAGGTAACATTTCTTATTTTAATTTCCCTTTGATTTTCAGCTCTGTTACTCGGCAGTCCCTAAACCAGCAGGGTGTAGCTAAAGCCTCAGTGACATTCTGGGACAATAATTGCATTTATTGTTTTCCCTTTGCTTTCTAGTCCAAACCATATGTTTCTGCCTTTTCAGATTAGCCCTAGGCCCTGCTCTATCTGTGTTAAGGGCTTGTCTGCTGAGGGCAGGAGCCTGGATGGCTCCCACAGCAGCTATTCTGTACGGGAGGCAGCCGGTGTGCAGCGCTGGTTGTATTTCAGTGCGTGTCAGAGCTCATTGTGGTGCACCACTCCAGACAGACCTGCCATAAGGCTGCCAGCTGTGCAGGGGAAGCAGCTGTAGGCAATGGCACTGACAGGGTTTTCTCTCAAGTCTCCTTCTCGAGGCCTACCTGTCTACCAGTCAAGCCTGTTAATTTACTGTGGGTGCAGCTCCCTGCTTTGTATATCAACCATCTGATGTGTTAGCTATGTATATCTAAGTTTAAACTGATTTTTAGGGTATTATTCCCACATTAAATATGCTCTCTTTGCAGATTATGATTAAAAAATGGTTGATCCCTTGTCCTCTACCTCTAAGTAGTGCCATAGAGACTTTACAGGTAAAGTGCATGCTGTTTTGAAGTTCTTCTAATTTTATTCATAACTGTAATGCTTTTTTTACGTTAACACTTTCAGAATTACTTGTAATTTAAATTCCTTCTTTTCTTAATCATCACAGGAGCTAAAAAGTTTCATGTCTGTGGTTTGGGCTTATTCTTTCATTATGCCATTTTTTTTGCATGTGTGTCTTACAGGTTTCAAATTCTACTGGGGACTGTAAAGCAAAGCTCTTTCATCTTTCAAAAGAGGTAATATCTATTAACAACACACAAACTTAAAGGGGATGGTGGTTTTTAAAGAATTGGGCTTTAAACTTTATCCAGGGTAAGCTATTCTTCTGTAAAACTAGTTATATATAGGCTGCTGAAATATTTCCTATACCTGCTGCCAAACAGTACCCAGTCACACTCTTTTTTTTTTATATGAAAACTGGCTGTCCAAGTTAGCATTTATGAAAACATTCTGCAGATATGATCCAAGTTTGAAGCAGAACAGATGCAGCAGTGGTCAGCCTCACGATGGAGTCACATCAAGCCAACTCAGTATGCCCTCAACTGGAAGTCAATGCTGTTTGGCTCTGTGAGCACTTGTAGGTAAACTGCCTGGATCTAACCTTTTTTTTTTTTCTTACCTGAAGCTAATTCTTCAGGCTTAATGCAATCTCATGCATTTAATTGGATGTCAGCTTTGGTATTTGTTAATTAGTGTGGCATTTAAATCATGTCACCACCCATCAGGGCTTGCAGGGAGAGGAAGTATCATGTAGAACTCTAGTCTCTGAGGGGTGAAGAGAAAGGGGAAAAAGAGAAGAATAAATCTGGGACAGGCCTGTAGCGTAGTGGAATTTAGGAGGGACACGGTTGCATTTGTCTGAAAAAACAAAATCCACCCCCACCTTCCCAAGAAGAAAAGAAAAACAAAACCCCTAAAAAACAGCTTGGGGAATGCAAACATGAGACAAATCTTATCTGTAGATCAAAGAAGAAATTCTGCTTTGGCCAGAAACATTTACTGTGAGACTCTGGCCTTTTCTATGGCCCTTTTGTGCTTTAAGGAATCTTGGGACTGTTTCTACTTCTTTTTTTGATTTTAACTTTATCAATAGAAAGTGAGATATTTTTACCAGTATGGGCCTGATTGTGTCAGCACAAAAGTGTTTATTACAGTTCAGCTTATTCCACTTGGCAACTGAATTAAGCTATACTAGATGATTCATCTCTTCTATTATAAGTTTTTGGAATAATATACCACTAATTTTGTGGTTGCAACTTTAATTATATAACTGTCTTGAAACTTCAGATGCCAAAGCATGTTATATTTTCTGAATGCTGTTTGCAAATTTTTGTGAAGGAGCAATAAGAAAATAGTGAAGTCAGGATGAAGGAGGCAGTAGCTTGACAGGTAGCTATGGATATTAGAATTAAAAAACTTAGAAAATTTCATGAAAGATACACTAACTTGGGGGTAAATCCTACTCTGTTTACATAAGTACACAGCCTTAATATAGCTAAAAAAGAATCTTTCAGTGTTGGCTTATAGACTGAATAACCTCTGATCATTGAATACTAGTGGAAAAGGTCTTTTTTTTTTTTTTTGTGGAAGGATTCAGACACACTGTTCTGTGTTGTGGAGCTTTATCTCAAAGGATTAATGTGGAAAGTTTCGGTGCTCGAACTGAACTCTGAATTCATCCAGATGTTTTTCCAACTATCTGTAATAACAAACAACGTACAAGATGTTTTTCTTCTATTTTAGAGTGCTTATGCAATACCAACTATGGCCTTCTCTTTTCTGTGCCATACCTCAGTCTTACCCATCTATTGTGAGCTCCAGAGGTAATGTATGAAAGCACATGCAATATTAATATGTAGTAATAGTATTTCTGTCACATTTACCCTAAATTAATCTTGAATATTTTTTATCTTCAAGTCAGTGCCATCAAACAATACAAACTAAGTAGCTTTTGTGTTTTGGGGAAATGTACAGTTTTAGTCTGTACTGGCTTTTCCTCTCTTACAGGAGAGAAAAGTAGCAAATATGGCTCCCTCATCAATGTCAGTACAAAGTCCTGGCCTGAACAATCTGGAGAAAAAAGGTCATTTGCTAAGGTACTTACTAGTTAACTTTTATTGCTGTAACTGAGTCTGCATTTGGCCACATCTGATTCAGTGTTTTTCTGGATCCAGATTCTGTTCCTGGCTCTGAATATATATGTATATGATCCCATATAAATAAAAATTTTGATTTAAAAGATAACTCTGATATGTCTAAATTCTCTACAAGATGGGGACAATGTTAATTGTCTGCATGAATTATGCCCTTTAATTACAAGCTCAAAAATACTTGAAAAAAACCCTAAATATTACTGACAACACAGACCTCAGCAAATACTCTGTGGCTGTAAATTAAGATGATAACTTTCATATGAAGGGCAAGCTGCTATGTAGATTACATTGTTTAATAGTCCACAATAGATTAAGCAACACAAATTTTCTGGTGTTCTGGTTTGTTTTTTTTTTTTTCCATTTTAGTCCATCCAAAAGTAGAATGCAGAATGTAACCATCACAGGAATTGGTCTGAGTTTCCTAATTTACTTCCTGTCTGCTCTGTTTGGGTACCTGACATTTTATGGTAAGTGTGTTCTTCATGCGTTCTTTGGAATGGAGCCAAATAATAAATGATAAATGCATTCTTGTCTGGAATTCTTGAGGCCTGTTAGTGCATTGATACCCTTGAATCCTCAGAACTCTTGTTCCTGTGAAGACTTGAGAATGTGCCTAATGCTGAGTATTACCATACCACATAATTACAACATGTAATGTAGCCAAACTTTGCAGGGTCTATACCCTAAAATGCTATAGAACCAAGATACTGGTCCCTAAACTGTAGCTGATGGTCTGTTGATGCTCTCTAGTGCTATGTAATTAGATTGCCACTATATGTTGTACTGTCTAGTATTTTCACTTAAAAACTGGGAATGGATTTATCATGGTCTGTGAAAAATTTTGAGATCTGGTAACAGTCTGATTGTCCAACAAGTTTGAGAGGTGTGTTCTAAGCAGCATTTATCACTTGTAAACTCTGTGAGATCCCAGCACGTTTGTAGTCTTTAAGAAAGTAGCACTGAGGCTGTTGCCTTTCATGAGGGGAGTTTGACCCCCAGCAAGCTAGTCCTAATGTTAAGTAGGTGTGAGGGTTTGCAGCATGTTTTCCCTATCTTATATAGCTTGGATACAAAGCATTTAGGGCTTCTTTGTTTTGTTTTCTTATTTTTACATATTAATTGGAACTAACACTAGCTATTTCATTAGATACCTGCTGTAAGTGGAATAAAATTCCTATGAATCATCCAATTTAGGAAAGCTTTATTTTGAAGGATTGCACAGAGTAACTACCTCATGATGCCTTTGTTTACCTGTAATGTAAAGACAAACTAGAGACCTTGAAAAAAATTGACAGGGAACAGGAGAAAATTAGAAAGTCAGAATCAGAGAAAACACACATGTAGTTTTGTGTCTTGAGTGGAGGACAATGACAAAAGACTAGGAAATTATTTAAAAGGAAAAACTTTTGGTCTTCCTAGCACGTGCTTCTGGTCTTCAGTAATTTGTGTTGCCTGCAGTTCCTGAGCCATAGGTGATACCTGTCTAAAACATGAACTGAACCAAGAAATGCATGTTTCTTAGTGGTGTTGTCAACATTGTACTTAATGATGATTTAAATCTATCCTTTTGGTTACCAAACATAAAAGTAGGTGGGGTATGAGGCTTGTCTTACCAAACTCTCCAGACATCTTTCATTTTCCCTTACTGTAGAGTTTGTGGCAACGTGCTTCAATACCAGTTTAATAACTCTGCATTTGGACTTTTTAGTACTTCTGGGTATGGTTTTTTTAGTTGAATTTAACCATGGATGACTTTGTGTGTCTGGTATTCTTGCATTTCCCAGGTACACAGAAAATTTCAGGACCCTTATCTACACAGTGGCCTTTTTATAAAGGTCCATCATAACCTCGTCAGAAGTAGTTGAGTGTCTGTTTCATGTAGTCATTTTAGTATCCTGTCATATAATGTCAGTGTGATGTCTTTTCTAAGAAATGCCATTTGGCTCTGTGGATCCTGCTGGAGATTGGGGTGTGTTTTGCTCACATAGCATGCAGTGTCAACTTGAGTTGCCTCTGCATAGTGGTCTGTCTTCTGGAGTGGTTTCATACAATGCCATCACGTAGATGCATCACAGTCATCTATGAGGATTCTTCTGATGTCTTCAAAAAACTCAGCCTTCTTATTACATGATCACATGCTAACCTGTGCTTGGAATGAATAAAAATTACAAGGGACAGTAAGGCAGTAAGACAAAAGTGTTCTGATTAGGATCTTCTCCTTTCAGAGTGTTCTGTATTTCTTGATCATGGGGTTGAGATAATGTCTGACAAAGCACTAAGAATATTGGCTTTCAGCAGCTAATAATTTCAGATTTCTAGAGATTTTTGCACCTTTTTTCCCCCCAAGTAAAAGTGTATGTCTGACCATAACTGTCTCAAAATGTTCCTGTCATGCTCAGAATTCTTTGAAAAATTATATGGGGAGTCTTAAAACCCCTAATAGCATTTAGGCCACTATTACTGTTTCCTGACTGTCTCCCTGTGGTTTGTAGGAAAATATAATTTTGAGTGCCACTCTGGGAGTCTGAGAGATTGAACAGGCAGTGTGGGATAATCATCTGTCTCCAGATGAGATCTCAACATGAAGTTAAAAGAAAAAAAAAAGGGGGGAGGAGAAAAGTGAAAACCAGTAGTAGTCCTAGAAGCCATCTCAGTTCCTGTCCCCTTCACTGTCATTATTTCTTTGGGAGCCTTTGGAGGCTTTCAGGCTGCCTCACGGGGAACACTTCTGGTTTTCTGCAAGCCTGATTTCTTTAGTAACTTAGACTCAAGAGCCTAAAATGCTGGAACCAACAGTGAATGCCTGTAAAAGATTTTTTAATTCTTTTTTCCCTTGCAGGCTCTTTATTTTTTCTTTCTCCCTCTTTTTGGTTGTCTTGTTTAATTAAGTTATTTCTTTAAATAGAGAGAATCTGTTCCCTGTTCATAAAACTCCAGTCCGAGAAAATGTAAACCATTTTATTTTAAATTGAAAACAAAAAAAAAGAGCTCCCTGTTTGAAATGAGACATGCTTCATTTTTCTGTGGTTCAGATGGTTCATTCTGTTTTCTGTGAATTTGAAACTTTATATGATGACTAGAATTTGGAAATTTTGGTCCACTCTGAAGTCCAAAAAAAAAAAAAAGTCAGGGTAGCAGACAACTTTCAGGGCTCTGACTTTTGCTCTTAACTTAGTCAAAAGATTCACCTTAAAAGAGAAAAAGTCAAAGGTGAAGGATTCATCACTGATTTATCACTTTTTGCCCCACTTTTGCCTTGTATGATGGTGTGTTCATGGTGTATGGTACTATAGTCATAGGACAGTAAAGTTGGTTTTGCAAATCTAAATCTGCATAGGGGAAAAACCATTTGGTACAGGGAAAAAAGCCTCAGTTCTCAATATTTTTTTCTTGTTTGTTTTTTAAATAAGAAATAACTCCTATAGAAGTATAACTGGTGCTAGTTTTCCTTCTCCATGTCATCTAGCAGTACACTGCTAACTATAGCCAGTGAAAGCACATATTCTAGCACAATTTTGAGTGCTTCTTCCTTTAAATTGGTATTGCAGCTTTTTTGTCAAGTCATGAATTTTACCTTGCATATCACTTCATGTTTTTGGGGGGAAAAAAGAAAAGGAAATGCAATTCAGCCAATTTAGCAAAATTAGTTTGTTTCTGGCTTCTAGTTTAACTAAAAGAATCTAGTGTTGACTGTTTCATGCATAGAATAAGTTTTACAATATACTTGGCTTCATAATCACATCATCTTTCTTTTTACTGCTTTCTCCTTCATACTTAGTCTTCTCTTTCGGTAGCTTTGGCTTCAGCAGAGGCTCTACAGAGACTTGCCTCCTGAAGTTTTTCCAGTTTTTCTTGAGGTTATGTGTTCTAGTTTATCAGTAACAACAAAGTCTAAGTATCTGCAGCCCCCCTCCACTCCACATCAGTCACAAGCAAATTGATGGAGTTGAATGTAAATGTATTACGTGTTGCTAATTACCTTAGTTCTCAAATGATTAACAAAGCAGTTAATTTTTCTTGTTTTCAGACAAAGTGGACTCTGAATTGCTGCAGGGTTACAGCAGGTACCTGCCACATGATACTGTCATCATGACTGTTAAAGTAGCCATACTGTTGGCTGTGCTTTTGACAGTCCCTCTGATCCATTTCCCAGTAAGTACTCCTCAACGTTTTGAGGCTGGGGTAAGCAACAGTAACACTAATGCTTTGCAGACTGCAATATTTGAGTCACATCTAGCCTTGTGTACCTTACTCACTTGTCAAGTGATTGATCAAAGACCACATATTTGCATATGTTCCATGAGAGCTCCAAAATAACAACTAACCACTAAGCTAATTTGTGCTCTTGAGACAGATTTCAGATTAAAACTTGCCCACAGCATTGTTTCTAATTTAGAGAATTGAGAACTTCTAAAGTGTATTTAGTTTTTTTTTTTTTTTTTTTTGTCTTAAACTGAGTTTTGCTGACTTGGTTTTTCCTTTCTACATGCACGCACCCACACAGAAACACACTTACACTTGAAAATTCAATTTAATTGTAAATCAAAAACACATATTGACCTATTTCACTAGAAAACCCTATTTTGGTTTTTCAGTACCATGGCAGAACTGAAAATTCATTCAGTTAGGACAAAAGAAAAAATTGTGCATGCAAAGCTATGTTTATAGAAACAATGTACAGATTACATATCAGCTGGCAAGATGCTGACTTTGGCTACCAAGTATGCTCAAAGTGATGGGCATTGTGCCCCAGACCTTCTTTTGCCTGAGAAAAAAATAGTTCCTTAAGGCTAATTTAACTATTACTAGTTTGTTTGGGTTTTTTTGTTTTTTTTTTATTTTTAAAATGGTCTTTCACATCTGGAATGATGTAATATGAAATTGAGATAAGATTAAAATATGTGCATATATTTACCTGTGAAATGTTTCTCTCTGTGTTATGTAGGCAAGGAAAGCTGTGTTCATGGTATTTTTCTCTCATCCTCCTGTGTCATGGATTTGCCATATCCTTGTCACTTTAATGCTGAATACAGTTGTTGTTTTGTTTGCAATGTACGTGCCAGACATGAAAAGTGTATTTGGAGTAGTTGGTAAGTAGTGTTTGTTTTTTTTTTTTTTGTGGTGGTTGGGTAGGGTTTTTTTTTTTAAACTTTTCTTCAGAAAATACAGTATTATGATAAGCTAATATATTTAAATCTGACTCTAAATAAAATCTTACTTTCTGTTTTTTTAAGGTTCAACCACATCAACATGTTTGCTTTTTGTGTATCCTGGACTATTTTATCTTAAACTTAGCAGAGAAGACTTTCTATCACCACAGAAACTTGGGGTATGTTTTTTCCATGTGTGCTAATTATGTTTAAACAGGCTCATTTTAGATTTATCTTAATAGTCTGTAGAGCACATAATCCAAGGGGCAAAGTTCTTGTTTTCATTGCGGTTAACAAAATCTGTGAACATTTTCTTTTATCCTTCATGATAGCTCTAGTCTTTCTGAAACTCCTTCTTCACAAGAAATTTGTGCTTTGCAGTGTGTCCATGTGCTGGACTGTTGATCTGAGCACATGCTTTTCCCTATAGTTTTCAGATGTTGACTTCTAATCCAATTTCTCCTCAGTTTTTACGCGTTACTCTGATGTTGTCTGGGCAGCTGGGATAAAGCCAAACTGCAGTTCAGAAAAGCAGTGTTTATGCTTGTTTTCTACATAAGCCTTCTCAAAACCACCTTTGCCCTCACCTTCCTTTTTTTTTTTTAATCCTCTTTTGGTGTAGTAGGTTAAGTTCTAGTTGGAATTTGTGCAACCTGCTTTTTGTACTGTCTTCATTTTAACCACTGCTCAGCAGAGAAACTTAATGACAGTGGTTAAAATGCTGACTGTTTATATGTAGCCCTTCTGACATTCTTACAATTCATGGGGCTGCTCTTGTATTGACAAGATAGGGAATCTGAAAGCAAATCCAACAATAGTGCTCTTTGATCATGTGAAGTCTTGTGTAGATTCAACAGATTTGGGGCCTTGTTAGAAATCAGTAAGATACTGTCTCTTGAACTGTGGTTTTATTATCATCTGGCTATTTGAAGATGTAAAGAATCCATTGTAACTTCCAATTATGTTTTGAGTAAAATACAAGGTCAGTTTCTTAATTTGTTCAAAGTTGTAAAGAGCTCTGAGAGTTCCAATGAACCCATGCCAGAGCAGGCTTAGTTTATCTTCCATCTAAGCAGAGACTTTGTGTTTGAAAAAGAAGTAATTTGAAACATTAATTATTTTACATTAAACTATTTAAACCTGTTACTGCAGGGTCTTTCATCATTGATTATAAACCTTATCAATATAAAATGCTTAATTCAATAAACCATTAATTTTTGCTTTTCTTTCTTCACAGGCATGTGCACTGGTTATTTTTGGCTTATGTGCTGGCCTTCTCAGTTTAGTTCTAATAATTTTCAGTTGAATTGATCAGTAACACCCTATTGTCACTGTCTGAATTGAGCTCCAGAAGGACAGCAAGAACCAGAGATGAGTCAAAACTACTGTAAATGAATGCTGGACATCCTAAAGAAAACACTGACTGAAGCTATCTATGGAAGAAGCAATACTATTTTTCACTGTGTTAGTGATGGATGTTCCTTCCTAATCTTAAGTCACTCTCTTCAGTTATTAGACAATTAGTCTTTGCCATTCTAAAATATTAGTTTGTAATGATTTAATTATGATTTAAAAAGATCTCTTGAGAATTTCTGCAATTCAAAAATGGTTTAGTGCATGTGGTGAACAAAAGCAGAACCTTGAAAGAACTTCTTTCTGCAGACAATGACATGGATAGATACTCCATCAGTCGTGATGAGCATATCACGACGTGTGCATGCAGGGTAGTGCACACATTATCTCAAACCCCAAAGGACTTCTATTGCTTGAATCAGTCCCAAAATTGCAGCCAGTTTGTATTAAGAACTTCCTGATTCCAAATGTTTACCCTTATTTATCCTAACATGGAACGAGAAACCAACTGCCTTAGCCCAATTTAATGGGCACATCGTGATAATATTTGCTAATTGTTTTTTTTAATGCAGTTTTTATACCTCAGTGTACTTGAATCATACTGAAGTAATTTTGAAATTAGAAGGCTTTGCCCATCTAGCATAATAACTTTTAGTAGCGTTAGGAAATTTTTCCATTTTGCAGTTAATAATAGACATTTTTCAATTAATGTCTGCTTTTGATTATTATTCAATGTACCTCAGTATTCCTTCCAGCGAATGACTTTTTTCTTTTTCTCTTATTCCCTTTTTTACAAGTGTTTCATATTTGAAATAGAGTGTTTCTATATTTTATGTACTGTTGTGCGTCAGAGAAGATTTGGGCTCGAAAGGTGAAATTCTGCCTCTTTTGAAGGCAAAGGAAATTTTACGCTTATGGAACCCTAATTTTACCTCAGATCTCTATAAACTTACATGTACCCTTTTATAATTCCTTAGTTTTCCCTAAATAGAATGTGGATGTAATTTTCAACACCGACTGGGCTCTGTTAAGTCTGGTATTGAGTGCCCACCCCGACAGTTCCTCATCTTAGTAGAATAAAATTTGAGACTGATGCCAAGGTGAGCTTTTTAAAATTTGTTTCTATCAGATGGGATTTGATGCCTTTAAAACAACTTAATATCTTCAGAGACTTTATGTCCTAAGGAAGCTAAAACTCCACAGAAATAGCTTGTGTAAAGTTAAGAAATTAGACCTCAGCCTCAAATGGCAAGAGTTAGAGGGTGGGAAAGTTCTTCATTATTTCCAGATGCAGTATTTCTTTTCATTTAGCTCAGCCCTTTTACCTCTGAGAAGTGGAGTAAGGCAGAAGTGAATCATAGTGAGGCAATACATTTATGTAATACGAAAGCAGCAAGTAAGTGATCTTTAAATACATTTTCTGCCCATAAGGTTAGCACAGTTAGCAAGTTAATTAACTATTGTCAGAAAGTTTTGCTGACACAGTTCTGTTACTATGTTGCCTTAGGCTTTATCAGTTGAGATAGGGGAGCTGCCCCAGAGCCTGGCATTTCTGACTTTTTAGCAGCAGGTCTGTACTATTAACCTTCTTAATTATGTCACTCTTGATTTGGAAAACGCTGATTGATGTGTCCACTTTAACATAAACCTGGTTTGAATGTGCTTGATCCTCACCTGTCTAACAGGGAGGAATAGCAAATAGCAGAGTTGGTATCACCTTCTCTATTTCTGACCTGACAAACTAGGATTTTGCATGCCCACAGATCACTCAACTCTCTCAGGAGCCATAAGATAAGTCTACTTTTTGATAGATGGCCTGAAGACCCCCGGGTGATGCAGCTTGGTACTGCTTCAGAAATCCTTTTTGCCCAGGGAATATTCTTCCACTTAGAAGTTTACTATAGAAATAGATAGATGCTGAGGCCTGGGAGCTAAGTTAGAAGTCTTGGTAGGACCCCAAAGAAAAGGATCCCTGAAAAGCAGTTATTTTTGTAACAAAGTGTCTAGCAGAGGTTTCACAACACTCGGTGAGCCCCATCTAATAGTTTGACCTAAACAGGACATCCACTTTTGGGCAGAAAGTTCACAGCTACTTCTGTGGCACTGGCAGTGGCTCCTGGTTGGTGTGCACAAAACCAATGTGACTGCAAGATGTGACACATTATCTGCCAAAAAATGAACTGAGGTGCGAGGTCACTTAGGGGACAAGGAAAGTGAGGGGGGTGGCAGGAGTGGAACCACCATTTTGAGCAGCAGCAGCCATTAGATCAGTGCATTTTTTCTCATAAAATCTGCTTTGCCCAGCAGTTTTGCTTCAGCAGGTTGAAGGCAGAGGATGCCTCCAACTTGAGAGGTCTCTGGCCTCTCAAGGGGTCGATGGGACTTTCTCAGCATTGCATGGGTATTAATGGTTGAGGGTCCTCATCTTGCCATCCCGGCTTGCTCAGCTCTTGATACCCAGCTGTAGCTGCCTCCCTGCCTGGGGCTGCCCTCCAATAGCTGCATTTCAGAGGCTGCTTACACTGTAGGGATTCAGCCATCCAGGGTATCTCTGGCAAAGGTGTAAGAATCAGCTCAATATTTACCTTATAAAAGTGAGCCTTCAGAGAGCAGTGACAGCTGTACATCAGGAAATGATTTTCTGTCTGGACCAAAACTTTCTAGGCAAACAGGAGACCCTACATTCACATGAATGAGCTGTAGGGGTTCTTCAGACACTAGAATTTAGGGGGAATATTTATTAGAAATTTTATGGAAATTGTTTCTCACTTATCATACACTCTTGCAGCATACTATTGAGTAATGCTTACAATCACAGCAGCCACTTTATTTTAAATTCTAATCAACCAGCCTTAGCACTGAAGACTTTGATTTCTGGCTGTGAAGGTGCAGAAGGCTGGCAGAGTTTTGCTGAGCTGTTGTTCTTTCCTTTTCTCCTCACGAAAGCTGAGTCGTGCCCTGCACTGCAACACTCTGTTTGTGCACAGGCAGCTGGGTTTGTGTGCATCACCTTAAACAATGTGGCTGAAATACATGAAATACAGCGTTAATTTTGCAGTTAATTCCTGTAATGCTATGGAAATCACTATGTTGTTTCTTTTAATCCCTAAGTATGATCCTACCTAGCCTGGCTGTTAACTGACTGTCCTAATAGGTAGACTTTGGAAGGCTGAATGCCAACCTGTGAATTTAATATTGGGTGAGGATGAATGGCAACAATTCACAGCTCTGCTGGAGCTCTGTTACAGCCTGTTGGCAGGAAGGATAGCACTGGGGGCTACAGAATGGGGGTTTTCTTTTGTCTGAAAAAGTTAGAAATACTGCTACTTTAAGTTATGTATCGTAGAAAGTTAAAAATACGGAGGGAGGGAGTCAGAAAGAGAAGGAACTTGTTTCCAAATTCAGGAAAAGGTGTGAGTTTTCCACAGTGCAAATGCAGACTAAGGACATGTTTTGTCCCTCGCATCTCCCACAGACTGTTGTTTGCTGTGTCTGTGTAAAGATTTCACTAAAATTGTGCTCTGGCATGAATTTTTTGAGCAAAACGAGCCTCCAGCTGGGAACTCTTTGCTCACGCACATGTAGCTAAATACATCTTCTCTGTACTCTTGTGTACAGATTTTTTTTTCTCTTGAGTTTCCAGATGTATAGATTTCAGTGGTTCTGCTTTATTATTACCTGTGGTTACATTTTCCAACCTTTTTTTTTGAAGACTTGACAGGAATGAAGGGGCCCGCAGCATTTCTGAACTCACTTGGAAGGGTTGCCTTTCCCAGCTGAACATGAACAACAATGTGAGAGATGAAAATTAACTGGTTGCCTTTGAGTTGGTTTTCTCTCTTTCTCCTATTTCCATTCCTTGTCCATTTGAAGGCTGTTCAAATTTCAGATGGACTGTGATAAGCTGGGTGTTGAGGGTGTCTTTTGTAAAAACCATTGCAGGAAAAAGTGCTACAAAACTAAAGTGGTCTAACCTGTCTTGGTCTTGTGGCATATGCTTATGTCTTAATCCCACACTTCTAAGCCATTTGTATCTTAATATATTTGTTTTCATGGCAATAAGTATTTAAATTTCTCTCTTTCAATCTTGCATAGTGAAAACTGAGACACTGTGAAACTGTCCTCTCATTTCTCTGTCCCTCCTTTCACCTTCCTCTGCAGTTCAGCTTGATCTCCACTAAGCATCCACCACTGCTCATCAGTGCTAGATAAGGGCAGAACTTTTTCCTGTGCCCATCATGTCTGTTCTTGTAAGAATTTGGTTTTTGGAAACATGGAGGCATCTTAATTTTGTAACATGGTAAGACAGCAGATTTGGAGTTCTTAAATAATTTCTTTCACATGGAATGTACTCGAGGTGCTGTGTTTCATACCTTTGCAGTCCTCCCGGTGGGGATGAAGGTGATGGTTAACCCACATCTGCCTGACTGAGCTGCTGGGGCAGTTGTTAAGTCCTTGAGCAGCTCGTGAACATGTTGTTTGTGTGACAGAGGATACAGCTTGTGCTTTATTACTGTATTTCTCATGCTGTGCAAGGGGTCATTTTGGTGTGGGTCTGGAAGTCTGTGTCAGTGCTCCAGCAGTTTCAGGGCAGCCCACGTGGACCTATTTTGAGGCTCCATAGGTATCTCCTTTGGATGGGAGTAGAGCAGGGTTGTGGACCTGTGTGGGTATTTTGCCTGAGCCAGTATGGCCAGTCTCATTTAAAATAAATTCCTGAAATTAATTTTGAGGATTATCTGTGAAGAATTTGAAACGCTTTCATTGGCATCAGCCGGCACACTCAGCGTTCCCTGTGGTAGGTGGGGGCAGAGTTTGGAGTCCTACCAGCCTGGGGTCTTCCTGTGGCTTACACTGATATTTCTTTAAAAACCTGAGAGAGATGGACGTATTTACCAATGCATCACTACAAATACTTGAAGACTAATCAAGTTGTTTCCAAATGTCCCTATTTAAGTAGATGAAAACTATTCATTTTTCTGTAGTGGGTATCATAATGTACTC